GGGCTGGAACCCTGGGCTCTGTAGTCTTGCCTGGGGCCAGGATCTCTTGTTCCCAAGGTGTCCTTCCCGATTTTTATTCACCACACATGAATGTGGGACTGCCCATTCTGCCACTGCCTCTCCATGCCATTCTGCGTCTCCGGGCCTCTCTGCCCATCTCCACGTCTCTGCATCTCCGTGCCTCCGCCCCTCCTTCCCTTCTGGAAGAATGTGGCTTCTTTAAATCCTTGGTTGGTGGACTTCATACAGCTTGGTTTTCTGACAGTTCTGGGTATTACTTGTTTTGAGGTCTAGTTGTAATTCTTTCTGTGGTTGTTCGAGGTGGCAAAGCATGTCTACCTATGCTTCCATCTTGACTGGAAATTCTGAATTGTTCTTGAACATTTAAATTGAAAGTTCAGATATATACCTTCCCGGTAAATTATAATCATGAAAATATTTCCTGCTTCTTTAAGTAGAATTGAAAATCACCATAATTAGTTTCCTTTCCCTTTTTTATAAAACTCCTTTCTCTCCCCCTTGAGACACATTGGTTTCCCAAGTTATGAATTCAGTTTCTTTTGTTTGTTCTAGCCACTTAGTTTTTCTTATTACATACCTGTTAAATTTTTAATTTCTCATTAAAAGTAAATATGGCTAATTTTCCTATCAATATTTCAAGAAGTCTTCCATTTCTGTCACAGCCTTGATATAGAGCTGTCCAGTGTGTATTACTACATAATTAAAATGTCATTTTTTAAATCAAATAGCTCTGGCAAAATAACCTATTAATACATTTTAAATGGATTAGAGGTTAATTTCTGTAAAGTTGGGATAAAAATGTGTATAAAAACTGTTGTGGAACTAAATATGGTAAGTGGAACAATACGTGTAGCATTCTGGAAGGTTGCTACAATTGTAGGAAAAATTCTTAGAGATAAACATCTCAGAGGTATTCAGACCTTTCCATTCAGTCTCACTGATTGTGTAATAAAGATGTATTGCGTTAAAAGATACAAATACATCTTGAGTGACTGGGCAAGTGCTTATTAAACACTGACTGTATCCAGTGCCAGTCCCTGTGCTGGGCACTGGATATTCAGTGGCGGTCAAAACGGGTGAGGTGATTCTGCCCTTGGCCCTTCATGCCGTGATCCCTAGAGCTCCTGGTGTGGGAGCGCCCATGTGGCTGGAACACAGTGACCGTGGCCGAGACCAGCCTGCGATGAGACCAGAGAGGTGGGCAGAGCACTAGTAACCACAGACGTTTAGTTGCGGTGAAGAGCCTGGTCTTCATTCCACCTGTACCGATGAGCCACTACAGACTTATGCAGGGGACTCCCGCTGTAGCTTTGTAAACATTACCCTGAGTGGTGGTAGAAGACAGTTGGTGGGTGTAAGAGGAGAAGCAGAGGCTCCATTTAGGAGGTTTGCTGTAATTCAGGCAAGTTATCATGGTGACTTAGACTAGAGCAGTGGCCCTAGAGTTAGAAAGAAATAGGTCAGTAACCAACTGGAAGAACTAACTGAGCCTTAGAGAGGGGTTCTGGGGATAACAAGGTGATGAGGGCCAAGGACGTGTAAAGGACGTTTTCTGCATCTCTGACTTGGCCAACCGGGTGCCTGGAGATTCCATGTTCTGAGATGGGTGGGGAACATGGGAGGAAGAACAGACTTGGAAGGGGTGGCCCAGTGTCGTTTGGGACCCACTGAGTGTGGGTGTTCATGGACTAGGGTACGCAAGGACTAGCCTGCTCTTCCTCAAGCTGCAGGAACTGGTTTTATGGTCCAGGTTCAGATGAGAATAAATAAAATCACTTCCAAAATCAACCACATGGTACCAGTTTCCGGCTCCTACGGAAATTGCTATAATCGATCCTGCCTCTGCGGTCGCTCTTATAACTCAGCACTCTAAAAATTACTGTGTTTTTGATGGGTGGGACAAAGCTATGCTCATTTTATAGTCAACACTCAACTTCTTGTCATCTGTTGTCTTTGGTATTCTAAGTCCACGAGGTCAAGTTACAAATTTGATCTTCACATGTACCAGCTGGATTTTCTGTTACCTATTTATGGGCTGCATCCCTCACTTTGGGTGGCTGACTCAACCTACAAGGCAGGAAACTGGGCCACAGATAGAGCTGGTATGAAATAGTGCCAATTAACCTTCGCTACTTAAAACTCAAACTTACATTCTACCTACACCAATACTCTAGTGGCCTTTATGAAAGCAGAGCCCAGCATATTATGCCCTTTTCACGTTGACTGTGGTTATATCTCCCTTCACATTAAGTATACATTTGTTGAGAATATGAACCACATCATTTGATTTCATCTTTTGATTTTCTGCAGCCAGTATGTTTATTTCCTTCAACAGATAGAAAGGGACCATTCAAGGGCTGGTGTTGTAAGTGTTTTGTTTTTTGTTCTACTTCTAGTGACTGGCATGCATTTGGCATCTGATATTCATTAAATGAATGCGTGCTGGAAGGAATGCTGAGTGGTTATTCTGTGAGAAGAGGGACAATTCAATTTCTAGAAACCAAAGAGATCAGACAGACTATATACTTCCTATAAAATTATGTCTCAGAAACCTACTGAGAAATCAGGGCTGAAAATATAAATTTGGGAATCATCTGATAAAAAGAATTATAGAAACCATGAGAGTGGAATTCCACAAGTGTGTGCAAAAAAGAATAAGGGTAGATGAGAAGTGAAAAGCAGAGACGGGGGCTTGGAAGGAGGGGTGGTGCGGTGGAAAGCACTGGGTCCGGGGAAGCAGGAGCTGGCGGCCGTGGGAGGTGAGCAGAGTGGTCAGGCGAACGGAAGGGGACCCGTGGACTTGGCAGAAGTAGAGCAAATGTAATGCGAGCCTGAGTGCAGAGTGAAAAACCACCGGGGAAATTCCACTGGTCTTTTGTTTATAGTCCTCATCACTCATGATTCCAATCAAGGAAGGACTTTCTTAAGCAAAGACATAATTAGTGTTGACTATTCTGCTGTTCACAGCCTGGCCCCCGTAGGTACTGTTTGTATTGATACCTAAGGGTTTATTTGTTGCTTCATGATCAAGGCCATGCTTTTTCCTTGCTCCTATTATAGGTAATGCTGTTTGATACATGTCATTATTTAGGAGGATGGTAAGAAAGTCACAGGGGTTGGAGCAGAAAATCATCTTGGAGGCCAATGTGAAAAACAGGCCGCTTCTCCCAAATTATTTGGGAATGTTTCAGTTGAAATTTTATTAAATTCTCTAGTTCATGAGAATGGTACAAAACGACAGTAAGGAGCCCATGGCAACAAAGAAACTTGGGTTGTGCTAATAATGGGGAGAGTCACACACACGTGTCATTTTTTTCTTGGGCATCTCTTTTGGAGGTGATGTAAGTGAGACTCTGTAGGATAGCGTGGGGCGTACATTTGAGCCTTATTAGGATGCTCCCATTTGCAGAGGATTTTTCACATAAGTGAGGTTGCCTTATCATAATGAAAAAAGTTCCTGTCATTTATTCAGCAACAACTTTGTTCCAGACATGTTACAGTCATCCTGAGAAGGCGATACTGTTCCTAATTTAAAGTGAAAAAAAATTGAAGAGAGTTTAAGAAATTAAAGTTAAGAGGCTTAGTAAGTAGGAGAATCCTGCCTTTTTCGCTCCAAAGCCCATGGATGTTCTGATGTGCTCTCTGAATAAGAATCTTCACGGTATCAGAGTGCATTTCCTTTTTGGTGGAGGCCACGAAAGCTCCACAGAGAAAACAGGACCCCTACAGGGGCGCTTTTCCAGCATTCTCCCTCCTAATCTGCCTGTCTGTTGACCCATATTTGCACCTGACATAAATATCATAACGATCAAGACTCTTCCCTTTAAGGACTTGATTCTTTTTATCTCTTGCATCTTTAGTCTGTGATGCCTTCTGTATTTGGTCAGAATTGCTGTATAACAAACCACTCCAAAAGTCCATGAAATAAAGTATCGTTTATTTGGCTCACTGTTCTGTGAGTCAACAAATTAGTCTGGGTGCAGCTGGACTTACTGATGCGTCTGTGGTCAGCTGCTGGTCACCTGGACAGCTTTGCTTTTGGGCAATACTGGCTGGTGGCAGGGTCATCTGGGTGCCTGGCTACCTTGGACGTGTCCACAGGCTTGTATGGGAGGGTCTTAAGAGAGAGAGCAGAAGCCTTCAGGTCGTCTTGAGCCCTTCCTCTGCGTTCTGTCAGCTGATGCAAGTCACAAGGCCGGCCCAGGACCTGTGGTGGAGAAGCAGGCTGCCGGAGCTTGGGACTCTTCTTTGTTGCTGGTTCCAGTTCAGCCTTCAAACCTAGGGCACATCGCTGCCTCAAGCTGAATCGCGTGCCCAGCGACAGGGTTCCCTCAGTCACTGTGTTTAGAACGTTGTGTGGCACTTGTTCGTTTCCTTCTTAGTAGAATGTGAGCTCCTTAAAAACAGACAGTGTTTCAATCTAGGATTTAGCACACAGCAGGTAACTTTGTAAAGGCTGAAGTTTGTGTGAGAATAAAGTATTCTGGGAGTTGATACCTGCCAACGTGGAAGAGAAGATACTCTTGCATTTTAAAACTTGCTTGTTGATGTTTAAATCCTTTGGAGCAGACTCTTATCAAAAATATCAAAATTGAATATGTCTTTGAAAAAATGAAGGGGGTGAAGAATCCTGACCAGCATTCTGAGTAGAGATCATTATTACATATTTATGTACCATCTTTTTAGATTGCAACGTTGCTGAAAAGGGAGACAAGTCATATTTTCATGGCATGTTTGTCAGAGAAAGCATACCTGGCCATTAGCTGACCCATTGGGACTTGGGGTAAAGAAAAATCCTGTTTTAGAAAGTAACACGAAGGAAGGATGTTACTCTGGAAGACACTGAAAATAAATGTCGCTGATAAATGAGAAGTGTGCTATACACAATGTAAGCTCATCTTTAAGTGAGCAGTGTGTCTTAACATTGCATTAATTCTTAATTGATGGGGTTTTTGTGTTCATTTTATTTTACGTGTTAGGTTCAGCCATCTGTATACCTCTCTGGACTCCACATAGTCCCATCACTGGGTTGATGTCTAACCATGCATCGGAGACCAAGAGGACTTAATGCTGGGCTTATTCTGCTCCTTACTCAAATCTTCCAAGTTGGGGTCAACAATATTCCACCTGTCACCCTGGCAACTTTGGCTGTCAACATCTGGTTCTTCTTGAGTCCTCTGAAGCCGCTGCTTAGCTCCTGCCTTAGCGTGGAGACATGTTACCAGGAGAAAGACTGGCAGCGCTTACTGCTCTCCCCGCTTCACCATGCGGACGATTGGCACCTGTACTTCAATATGGTTTCTATGCTATGGAAAGGAATCCAGCTGGAAAGAAGACTAGGAAGCAGATGGTTTGCCTACGTTATCACCACATTCTCCCTCCTCACTGGGGTGGTGTACCTGTCCCTGGAGTTTGCTCTCGCAGAATTTATGGACGAACCTGGCTTCAAAAGGAATTGCGCCGTAGGGTTCTCAGGTAAGGCAGACAGATTTCCCAGGCGGCATGCATAAAGACAGTCAGGGAGGCATGGCTGCTGTCCTTTTATGAAGTGTGGGTCCCCAGTTGGTGAAGGAAGTGAATTCTGAGTGGGTGAGGGCCGCTGGGGGATGTATTTTGGAGAGAAAGCTGACTGGAGCACAGGAGGGACATAGATGTTGTTATGCATCATTTGACCTTGGACAGTTTGGTCTATCGTCCGCTCACAGGTAGTTTTGTATGAGATGCAACACAGAAAGTACGCACTGGCTCCATCATGCTAGAGCCAGGGAGAGACCCACAGGTGTGTTTGTGATGGGGAGTCTGGAAAAAGATGAGGGTTCCTCTTACTAACTGTGTTAAAATAAATGTGTCACATCCTACCACAGCATGCCCACCACGTTTTAGGAGCCAAGATAAGTCACTCCATTTAATTCACATACCAGCATCATTGGGAGCTGGCATGGTCTTCGTTTTGTAGATGAGAAATATAAGACTCAGAAGTCAGGAAACTTGTGCAAGGTTACACAGCCAGTAAGTGGTGTGCTGGGATTTGAATCCAGCCTACATGACGTCAACAATGTATTACACCACCTCTCCCTTTAACCCTCACTAGTTCTTTTTTTTTATGATTATGTCATAGGATTGAAATTGCCGTCAGAGCTAAGTTAGGTGCTCTGAAAATTAGAATGTGAAGAGGAGGAGGGAAATAGCCCTGAAACAGAAGGAAATCTAACCCCTCCCTTTATTTTCCCTCCTCTCCTCCCCGCTTCCCTCTAAGATGCACCCTCACGCATCTAATTGTGGGAGAAGGAAGAAAATATGTCCTGCCTTCAACATGTCTTTCCATAGAGGTTAGAAAATACATGCTGCTTACGTCCTTTTTTTCTATTGACTAAAAATTCACATGGCATAAAATTAACGATTTTAAAAGTGTACGATTCAGTGGCATTTAGTAGCATGGCCGTTTTTTATCCCCATTTTATGTGTTATATACATATTTAGTGGTGTGCCGGAAGTCAGGGTGAACTCCCATGTTAAAAAACATCAAACAAGTGATTCCCGTGAACAGTGTCTTTCTACTGAATGCTGGGTTGGCTTGTGAGGAATAGAGTACGTTTCAAAGTGAAAAGTTGGATGTAGTCAAATAATAATTTTCACCTTCAACTAGTGTTCTTTGTAAATGTTGATTATCTCCATATTTGGACTGTTGGTATTTGTCTGCTCTTTCTTCTCTTCTAGGAGTTTTGTTTGCTCTGAAAGTCCTTAGCAACCATTATTACCCTGGAGGCTTTGTCAACGTTTTGAATTTTCCTGTCCCCATCAGATTTGCCTGTTGGGCAGAACTTGTGGCAATTCATTTAATCTCTCCAGGGTAAGTGTTTATTTACTCTTAGAGATTACAAATGAAGAACCTGATGTTGTGTGGAAAAGGCCCCGGAATAGCAATGAGATGACTATTACTTTTTACAGTGAAGTTTATTCTTTAACTATAAGGATAAAATCAGACATTCCTGAGTTTGAATCCACTCACCTACTGAGCTGTGGGATTTTGGGGTATTTGAGTCATCTTGGTTTTGGTGTCCTTACCTTTTAATTTGGAATAAGCAAACCTGATATACAGATTTGAGGATCTATATTAACCAACCTAACCAACAATTAATTCCAACAACAATAATCCAAAGAAGCACATAGAAACCACGTATTATAAAGATTAAAAAAAATCACAAGGTAGGTTGGTCCAATGCTTGTAAACCATTTTAGTTTTTAATTATCTTGGTAATAAACTTTTTAAACAAAAGGCTTTATGCACAAACTTGATATGTAAAATGGATCAACTCTGAACTCTTTTGGGTCGAAAGGAAGCATGGGGCCCCTGCGCCTTACTCTGTCGCTGTGGCTGCCTCATAGGCACCCATAGGGCTCCAAGGGACCCAGTTTGAGAACAACTAATGTCTACGAACTTTACAGAGGAGGAAAAGGAAGTTCAGGAAGTTGAGAGACCCATCAAACAGCTTCTGGTAAATGCCAGACTGGTTAGGATTCAGGCCTCCTGGCTGCTGGTCTGGTGCTCCTGCTGGGGGTAGTAGCTTTTCCACTTTGGCCCCTGCTTTCAGTTTCAAAAAAGTCGGGCGAATGGTGTTATTTTCCCACTCCTTCCGCCAGCTTCACTTCTCTCAACCTGTGTAATGCAACTGGAAACCCATGGTTTATCTGCTTATGTTTACGGAGGGGACCTGGACGCTGTTTGGAGAACGGGGAGGTTCAGAAACAAGGAAGGAGGACTTTTTCTCTGCGGTTCTTTTCAGACAGGAGTTTTTAAATGTTGCTCCTTTGTTTGCGTGACTGTGTTGGGTGTCCTACTTCATTTGAGAGTGTTCTCCTTGGGCTGTAAGTCAGCCCAGTAACCTTGAGTCCTTCTTTAATGCTAATTTCCCGTCCTGGGCAGCCCTTGCCAGCTGGCCTATAAAAAGGCAGCAAGTGGCCAGCGCACACCACTCATTTGCAACTGTATTGTTATTTTGTGACAGGTCCTCGAAGAAAGCCTGACAAAATCTTCAAAGTTTTCTTTGAAAAAGGGCGCTGTCATGTCTGTCCTTATCTGAACAACCCTCTCTATACCTTGTCACTCACAGCCCCCTGACTTGCTTGATGTGACTTGCTTCTCTGTGTAGAGGAGAGACTTGTATGTGACAGCAACACCCAACATTCATATGAAAATCGCTCTCTGGTGCTTGAACTTTTATTCGATAATGAATCCTTTGAATAGCAGTGCCTTTAAAATTCTCATTCAACTGTTTCTGAAGACTCTCATCATGCGTTTTATTTTCTTAGGGTCCCCTTTTTACATGGACATGCATGACTGTATTTTTATGTAATATGCTTATTCTGCGAGGAGGGACCTGGGAGTTAAATGAAATTTCTTATCTTTGAAATTTGAAAGAATAAATCTTTTGGTCTTTAAGGTTTGACTGCTTTGAATGATAAACTTCTATCCAGGCATCTACTTATGCATGTGTCCAAATAAAGACCCGAGCTAAACACTGGTCCAGGAAACCTGAGAAGCCAGTGCTTCTTTGAGATGGATCTTGGGAGAATGGGAGAAACCTGAGCTCTCTGCTCTACATTGTTATTCTCCTGGTGGTTGTCAATTAGAATTTTCATTGGGAAAACACTGTAAATCTTCATAACAATGCCTGCCTCACTGCCTGACTTAATGAGCTGCCCTTTGGGAGACAAAAAAAAATGGGCCCAGCACTTGGTGGACCCCTGTATTTTATGAAAGCCACAGAATTAGTAATTTCCCCTAGTTCCTAGTTTTATGGAGGGAAGGCTCTCCTAACAGCCAGACCTTATGCAACGTGAGGGGCGTGGACTTGACCAGCATGACGTGCCCCCACTCACTCCTGTGCTGGTGCCTTTGCTTTTCACAGTACTTGAGTGAGTGCCTTGTTTCAGCAACTGCTCGGCCTCACATGGCCTTTTCATTTCCCTGCGTGTCCCGGGGCCCTAGGAGGTGGTTGTGTCTGATGTCCTGCCTCTGTTCCGGAGTTGGGGAGTTGGCACAGGAGGGAGGGGTGCATGCTGCCTCCTCACAGACTTAGCTCAGGCCCTCCCATCCCTGCCACCTTCTCTTGATGGAAGGAAGAAGGATGTGATGCCAAGTGTTACTTTCTAGCCCAAAATACTAGCCCAAATTATGAACCTCTGCATGTTCTCTATGAACCTAAGGCTGTCTAGTCAGAAAACCACAGCTCAGAGACATGAATGTTATTCAGAATAAGACAGCTGCTCGGTGACCACACTCGAGGGTTGAAGTCCATTGTGAAAGGACCTGGGCTCACATACCAGCCCCGGGACCTCAGACAAATCATCCCACCTCCCAGCGCCCCGTGTTCCGCACCTGGAAGACGGTACGTTATTTATCTTGTCTGTGTCTGTCAGTTTTAAGGAGTCAAAGGGGTAATGCATATGAAAGTGCTGTGTAAACGAGGTGATACTTAACTCATCACTTTTACGATGAGATAAATCACTGAAAGTGTGCCATGTCGCTGAAAGGACTCATGCCCGATTTGTTTGTCTTCCCAAAATTAATAAAATAAACCAGCTGTTAATTTTGTTTGAGTTCTCTCTCCCCCGTCTCTCGTTTCTACTTGACTTTTCCATCCTGAACGACAGCAGTCTAAACATTCCCAGGAGCTGCTCTTTGACACGGATGAAGCCAAGAGCGCGCTTGGACGCAGGAGACGTGTGGCGCAGCCTGGCACTGCTGAAGCCCGCAGCCCTGTGGCTTTGAGTCCTGCCGCGCTGCTCATGTTTCAGGAGAGGAGTTACACGAACCCAACTGAAAACTTCTTTAGATGGTCACTTCTTTAAGTGACAGAAAAATATCGATCATGATCCTTGTCTGAATTGGCTATTTCATGGTGAGCCATGAAGGATGATTTCCTGATTCTATCATTCCTTCTATGTTTAAATGTATGGAGTTAATCTGGGGGTGGAAGTTAATAACTGAAGGTGAAGAATTGAGGAAGTTGAGTGTTCTGTCAAGGGCAGATCTTAGTTTTGCACGATTGAAGCTTATTCAATTTTGTGGATCTTCCTGAAGAAAGGAATACAAAATTAGAAGGGAAAGTAAACATTTTAAATAAAAAAGCACAACAATTTACAAATTCTTAAGATCTGACAAATACTATAAATGTTGCAAAAGCCATAAAAATAATATTATAATAACTCCTTGGCATGATTCTATAATATTCTCTCCCACAGGTTTTGCTTGCATACTCTGATCTCTTCTTCATATGATACTAATTTGGCAATAGTGTTTCTGTAGAGGGAATAACATCAAAATCAATTTTTTTATTAGTGAGAGTTTAGAAAAGCTTTCACAACTCATCATGTAAATTTTTAGAATTGTCAGATTTGGGGGAACTTCTATCAAGGCATTTTTACATACAAGCTGTATAATTTCAAGGCTTTTCAAGTTTTCTTATGCAGCTTTCTTTTCAAGTTTCTTGACTGTTTTCTGAATTGATTTGAGTGTTGTCAGAGACCTTTCATGGGATAGTACAAAATTTTTGTTTTCTTCGTGGATATCAATACTTTGTGCTGTATTAACAAGAGATATTATTATTATATTCCTATTCTTCATTAACTGAATTACCAGAAACCCAAGAATTTATTAATTACTTCTTTTTACAGCTTTTGATGTGATTTGAAAATATTTTGGTTTGATGGCTATAAACAAAAATTCCTGTAATGTTTATTTTGCATAACCCTCAAAAAAGAAATGTGAAGCTAATGGTGCATTTATAATTTCATGCACTGAGTTCTCAAGTATATCCCTGACAGAGAACCTCTGCCAAGTTTCTGTTTTAACTCTGTATTAATAGTTTTACATGCTTGGTGATTGGAAGAATTTTCCAGATTCTGGACTCTTGCTCCAGCATGATGACTAGACGGCTGCGCTGGCTGCCTTCTGACATGGGCGAGTGCTGTGGGACTTCTGTACTGTGCCCCCTGTTAGAATTCTGGTTAAGGACACACAGAGGGTATTAAGAGTATTTCTGGAAGCTGTGTCTACACAGCAGTGACTAACAGTGACTTAACCCCGCACTGAAATGACTGAACCACATGAATAAGCCCCAGTGAACCCAAACTTAATATATCTTCCATGTGGCTTCCCTTTAGTTGCATCCTAAAAATGTCTGTGGCCACACCGAAGCCACCTGACTCAGACGGAAGTGTGATAAAGAGGAAGCTGGAGTGGAAAGAGATAGCAGTTTTAGTTGATTGTGGTTAAGACATCTCACTTTCATAAATTTTACAGAAGCCTATGACCATGTGAACATGCTATTTGTACCCATCGCACAGCTGTGAAGGGTCCCCGCAAGTGAGGGACCTGAGGCTTCATGAGCTTCTTGGCACATCCACTTGTAAGTTCTGTTGAGAGCTTGTCCCAGTGATGACCGTGGGGAAGGGCATGAGATGGAACTGAGGAGGCCTCAAGACTGTAGGCAGGTGGAGCGACGAAGAGTGGAGGTTGGGTCGAGTTTGAAAACTGAGAGAGCTGTGTGAATAGGAACTGGTATCAAAAGACTGAATGTTGGGGTCTGTTTTACTGACCACATGGTCCAGAGCGTGGTGGAAGAAAAGGTCATTGGCATCAGGAGGTCAAGAGGTTGTGGGGCTAAGTGTTGGATGGATTGTCAACATGGGCAGTGAAAGTACCCAGGATGACTATAGGAGGTGGGGTGGAGAGGAAGATAGTGAGATTATTCCAGAGTCTTCCATGGATGCCAGGGAATAATACCAGAAGCAGATAGTAGACAGCATCTGTATTAGTTTCTCCTGGCTGCTGTAACAAATTCCTGC